TGGTGTGTGTGCGTGTGGTGTGGTGTGCGGCGCACACACTTAGTCGGAGACGAGGTAGTTTATTTATCCCGTCCACACCAACTCCGGCCTCCTCTCTCTCGACAACGCTGCCGTACAGCCCGGCCGAGACACAACCGTGTCTATGTTGCACCGATGGCGTCGACCGAGACAGCCAACTACTGTCCGGCCGCGCAATGATCGGGCGAAGGCGGCGGCAACGAAGGCGGCGACAACGACAGCGACGAAGAGACGAGTGCACTCTCAGAACCGGCAGCCCGGAGCTCTTGCTCTCCGCTGCTTCTATTCTACTCGGCACAGCCTGGCTCCGCCCTAGCAGCGCCTCCCTTCTCGAACCAACCAGAGGGTTCCAAAGGGCCTCCCTATGAGGTTTTCTGTGACCCTTGCCCCAGTTCCTCCGCCCTGCCGGCACACCCTTGTATATGCTCAATGGCGTGTGCGCTATCTGTTCACCGCAGTTGCCGCTTCTGGACAGCAGTCGGCGCTGTGTCACCACATAACCACCCCTCTGTTAAAAAAAAAACAGCCATCCCGGCTGTCAATACAGCAGCCACAAGCAGTAGACAGGCAGAGCAACCCCCCAATCTTGAGGAACACCCCTAACAGTAACCCAACCAAATATGAAGAACAATTTTTTTAAACAATCCCGCAACAACTGTGGTACCCCCTGCGAACCAACAGCACACTCACCCAATGCAGTGCCCCCCACCCACCCCCGCGAATTGGCAACCTTTCTCACACATGGCGCCCCCCCCTCCACGAACCGGCAACACCCTCACACACCACGACACTCCCCCCCCCCCCCAACAAATCGGCACACCCTTAATCAACCTCCTTACCCATGCCCTTAACCCCCAACACCTCCTCTCCCCAGGATCCCCCCCCCCTCCCCCCCATGCAAGGGAGAGTACCCCCAATACCGGGACGTAGCTCGCGCAATCCGGTCCATAGCACCGGTTACCCCCGTCTCAGCAGGGTCTTGCACCTCCGGAACTCTGAGGGATAAGAAGAGATGATGAAGGAAGAAGCAGCCCGCGGCTTAAAGGGTGTGATCCCTCACTGCTGTTGCACCTGTCCAGATCCGGTCCCCGAGACCTCGATAGGCCTCAGAGACCCGGGTCTGGTGGGGCTTGGGTCGACGTTGCCGACGGGTCAGTGACTCTGCCGGCGGCCCTCTGTCACCCCGACACTCCACCGCGATGTGGCCCGAGCGGCCACACATGAAACACCTGAGCGTTGGTTCCCAGGGTGGGTGGTACTGCCCCCGCTGCAGGTCCCCCCGCAGGGATATTCTTGCTACATCCTCCGTCCAGCCAACGCCGCCATAATGTCTTCCATTCTCCATGCCGCAGCCTGCCTCCTTGCCCGTTGCTGGTGTTCTTCGAAGACTTGTATCTTCCGAGCCACCGTTAAGGTTGAAATGTCTGTGCCAGTGGCGGAGGGCAGGGCAACCCTCAACTTTCTCGTCAGCTCCCGCAGCCTTTCCACCACCCGAAGGTCGAGCGCCCCCTCACCCAAAAGTGGGTATGCCTCCCCTCCTAGCGCCAGCAGCGTTTCCCGGAAGGCATATGGCGATTCGGCCTCCTTTCGCTCCCTCTGGAGGAATCTTGTACGAACCTCCCGTGCCAGGTCAGAAGCAGCTCCTTGCAGCTCCATCAACCTACGTGCCTCCTCTGTGTTCCTGCGCTCGCCTCAAAATGGCGCCTGCTGGCCACGGCAGGTCCTTCGAGGGCAAAATGGTGCCCATCATGTGCACGGTCCCCCGTCCGGAGCCCCCTGCTCCCACTACGATGGAAGCTCCAGCTGGGTTTTCCCCGCTACTCCTCTCCACACAGTCACCCGGGGTGCGCTCTCCACGATGTCCCCCGCCATGCCACGTGGTTGACGCGTGACCGCGGAAAATCTCAGCCGCTCTCTCCATCGATGCGCAGCTGCTCTCTCCATCAGCGTGTAGCCGCTCTCGCCATCGACGCACGGCTGCTCTCCGTCGATGCACAGCCGCTCACTCCATCGACGTGCAGCCGCTGTCTTCATCGGCGAGCAGCCGCTCTCCTCGTCGATTCGCAACTGCTCTCCCTGTCGACGTGCAGCCGCTCTCACCAGATTTAGTGTCCTCCTTCCTCCTGGCGTGTGTGCGTGTGGTGTGCGGCGCACACACTCAGTCGTAGTTGCAGTAGGCACCGTCTATTTCTCCCATCCACACCAACTCCGGCCTCCTCTCTCGCAACCAAACTGCCGTACAGCCCGGCCTAGACACAACCCTGTCCGCATTGCACCGATGACATCAACCAAGACAGCCAACTACTGTCCGGCCACAATGATCGGGCAAAGGCGGCAGCGACAAGGGCGACGACTGCGACAATGAGACAAGTCCACTCCCAGAACCGGCAGCCTGGAGCTCTCGTTCTCTGCTGCTTCTATTCTAATCGGCACGGCCTGGCTCCGCCCTAGCCACGCCTCCCTTTTCGAACCCACCAGAGGGTTCCAGAGGCCTCCCTATGAGGTCTTCAGTGACCCTTGCCCAGTTCCTCCGCCCTGCCGGCACACCCGCTCATAACTGTCCATCGCAGTTCCCATGAGCCGTTTGTTGAGGAAGCGGGGCAGTCTGGTGGTGGGGTAGCCCATGAGCTGTGTGTTGAGGAAGCCGGGCAGTCTGGTGGTGGGGTAGCCCTTGCGCTGTGTGTTGAGGAAGCCGGGCAGTCTGGTGGTGGGGTAGCCCATGAGCTGTGTGTTGAGGAAACCGGCCAGTCTGGTGGTGGGGTCACCCATGAGTTGTGTGCTGAGGAAGCTGGGCAGTCTGGTAGTGGGGTAGCCCATGAGCTGTGTGTTGAGGAAGCCGGCCAGTCTGGTGGTGGAGTCACCCATGAGCTGTGTGTTGAGGAAGCCGGGCATTCTGGTGGTGGGGTAGCCCATGAGCTGTGTGTTGAGGAAGCCGGGCAATCTGGTGGTGGGGTAGCCCATGAGCTGTGTGTTGAGGAAGCCGGGCAGTCTGGTGGTGGGGTCACCCATTAGTTGCGTGCCGAGGAAGCTGGGCAGTCTGATAGTGGGGTCACTGTTCCGGCGTTTGTTGGGCACGCTGGTTAAAGCCTACAAGTTGTTCCACACCATTCAAAAGTTTAAATGCTGAAATTCACGTCAAAGTTTGAGCCCCTTTCCAAAATGGATTTCTGGAACCGAGGTACTTGGCTTCGGCTAAAGTAAGCGTGGGTTTGAGCCATGCTCACTGGAGCCAGAGCCAAGCCTGATCTTGAGCCATTATTAAGAATATTGACTTATGCTCAATGGGCTTTAACCTGTTTAGAGTTTATCTCCATGTACTTATACAAACTCAAGCTGTATTTGCATGTAAAAAATAATTAACGTTAAAATTAAAACGTTATTGCACAATGACCAAACCACGTGGGATGTTACATCTTGGACGCCAAGTGGGCTTCAACATGGATAATGCTTGGATGAGTGACCACCATGCACAACAGGTTGTTAAAGAGTCAGAGTACAAATCTTGACTTAAAGCTTTCATGACTGCAGGAATTAATATTCTTTGGGTCTTTCGGTAATGTCACGTAGATAGGTTCAAAGAAAATAACAAAAAAAACAAAAAACTACGATGCTTCAATCGCAACAAAAGCGTTCGTCATCAGGAAGATGACGCAACACAAGCGTTCGTCATCGGGAAGATGACGAACGCTTGTGTTGCGATCGAAACTTCGTAGTTTTTTGTTATTTTTTCTTTTCTTTTAATCTATCTACATGACTTTACCGAAAGAACCAAGAATATTAATCCCTGCAGTCACGAACGCTTTAAATAAAAATGAATTTAAGTATTTTGGTACGGCCACATAATATAGCCAAGTCTATGATGTAAGACCCTTCACCACCCGGCACTGCCAAACAGGTAAAATTGTCAAGCATACAAGCGTTTAACCTGCACATTCGTATCGTTTTAGCTCACCGTTGAGTTAAAAAACTATTCTCACAATCAAATTGAGCAATTTGATTCATTTCATTCAAAACTATGCCAAGCATCCTCAAAACAAGATGCAGGAAATCAGAACACAACCCTGAGTCAGTCATTCTGAATTACTTCATTATTCGGACTGACTTCCTGGAATGTATTATAGTTTTACTATGTCAGGTGGTGGAGGGTATTACAACACAGATTTGGCCAGATTATTAATAAGCCTAACCTAAAAATGAATTATAAACCATCACAGCTGCAAAAGTTCAGCTGTCAATTCAACTCCACATTCGCAGGGCGACATACACGCGGATGCACACTTTATTTACACTTACGCAGTAACATAATTCAGCAGTGCAGATATTGTTTTCGTTTGTAAATCCAACTGAGCGACAATTAAATACATGTTGTTGATGTTTAAATTCTCAACTTTTTGCGAAACATTAAAAAAATGGACATGCAAAACATTGTCTTTGAAAATAACAAAAAAATAACAAAAAACTACGACGTTTTGATCGCAACACAAGCGGTCATCTTCAGGAAAAGGGGGGTTTAGCTTCCAAGGCAAACTGTTTATAAAGGTTTGAAATGGGCGTAGCCCAAATGTCAGCAGCCAATATTAATGTAAGCGGTGGGCAGCCAACCCGACGGTGGTTGGTTTTACAGCAACCAAAGGGCTGCCAGGTGAAAATTAGCATGTTAATGAGAGATTAGTATATTAATGGAAGATCGCAGAGCCGCAACCAAGAGGTCAGCGTGCAAAGTTGCTGTGTGAGTGTGAACCCTGTGAAAGCGCAAGTTTGAAATGGGCATAAAGCACAACTAGCATCAGAAAGTGGTAGAATGGGAACATCACAGACAATTATGACTTAAACTGGTTGCTAACGTCCTTCCAATGACTGATCCAATGACTGATCATTGGAAAAGGACGTTATCAACCAGTTTAAGTCATAATTTTCCGTGATGCTCCCATCCTGCCACCTTCCGATGCTAGTTGTGCTTTACGCCCATTTCAAACTTGCGCTTTCACAGGGTTCAGACTCACACAGCCACTTCGCGAGCCGACCTCTTGGTTGCGACTCTGCGATCTCCCATTAAAAATGCGAATCTCTCATTAACGTGCTAATCTCTCATTAACGTGCTAATCTCTCATTAACGTGATAACTTTCACCTGGCAGCCCTTTGATTGGTGGAAAACCAACAACCGTCAGGTTGGCTGCCCACCGCTTACATTATCATTGGCTGCTGACATTTGGGCTATGCCCATTTAAAACCCTTATAAACAGTTTGCCTTGGAAGCTCACCCCCCTGTACCTGAAGACGACCGCTTGTGTTGCGATCGAAACGTCGTAGTTTTTTTTCTTTGAACCTATCTACGTCACTTTACCGAAAGACCCAAGAATATGAATTCCTGCAGTCACGAAATCTTTAAGTCAAGATTGTCTTCGAGTTTGAAAGAATCTGGAAGAAAATCAAGAGGACCCAGAGGCTTTACAGAATGAAACTTGTTTGAAAATGAATCTACTGTGATCTGTATTTAAATGTTTCCATTTCCAGATTAAGGGTCAAGACACTCATCAGATTACGCAATGTCTTAATGCACCAAAGGATAAACTCAGCAGCTGTTCTCTTTTTTTTAAATAACAATCACTTGTATATTTACATCAACTCCTATCATCGATCCAAATAGAGTGAAACTCTAAACATTCAAGATCTGCGAATCCAGAATATTCTTGGCGCCCCATAGTTTTCAGAATCTCTTGTTATCTGGAGGGTGAAAATCATTCAATTAGCGAGTTTCCACGACGTTTAAGAATTTTTATAAGTGGCTAAAAACTTCTATAATCCGCGGAAGCTGGCGACGGTGTGACGTAGCGTGGATTTGAAAATAGTCGCGTGCCTACTTCCTCCTAAAATCCGTGATCCACCGCAGTTGCAACGAAATGGCACGACCGCCGACTCATCTGTGTTTAATGTGAAGGAGGTGGGCCTCACGGGCGGGATTTAAAACTGCGAGTGTCTCGCCCGCTCGTTCAAACCTGCGCCATCTGTAAATGCACGAGTATCTTGCTCTCAACGCCATGCACGTGCATTGCCAGTGCCACACGAGTGCAAGTTCTAATGTGCAGTGCTAAATTCAGAATTATTTTGATTAAACCAAAATTTGGTTAAATTTTATGTTAGCTTATATTTATGTTACTTGTACGTTCTGCAAGTGTGTGAGAGTGGTGTGTTAACACAGTAATTTAAACAATTATGGCTAACAGTACAGGTCTGGTGGCCGGGTAATAGAGGGAGACATTTAATCCATGTTGGATTCCAAGCCTTAAAAACATATTTTTTTAAACCCCACAGAGGATAGATGCTTATTGTAGATTTGCTCAATTTCATTTTTCCAAAAAAATGACATTTATAAACATTTTTTTCCTGGGAATTTATACAATCTGTAAATTGTGGATTTTTATATTTGCATGGTTAAAAAAAGTCTACAATCCGTGACTTTTATCACAATGACAATGTTTCAGAGTATTTGCCGGTGGTGTATTGCAGATGATAGGATTCTTCTTTAAAACCCTCCCCCAAATCAGCATAGATTTTTGGAGTTTCACTGTACCACGTTAAATCACAGCCTGACCCTGCAAATATTAAAACTCAACCACCATAGTGAGGCATGAAACTAACCGTAGCAATGCAGATGCTCAGAAGGACCTTCACAGATGACAACACGTGCAGTCTTATGACCCCATCGTCAGGCCAATCCTAAAATCCTGGGTAATGAGCCTCAACTAAGTGGGAAAATACAATACAAATACACACCTCATTTAATTGCAAGTTGGATTTGGTTTTCCCAACTTGTGCATGACTAATAATCCTAATTTGTCACCACAATGATCCTGAAATTTGGAAGATTTGCTAAGTGGACGGCAGGAAAACCGCCTTGGCTCACCCTCTCCCGGCCACCACTGTGCTTCTGAACTCTCTCCCTCTGTGTTCATGCTTGGCTGTGCAATTGCACTTGCGCACTCCTTAAATGTACGAGTTAATAATCTTAATTCCAGTGTCTCGTTTTGTTTTACGTCTCACAGTCCATCAATCTTTCTTCAGCGCTTGTCCTCGGGCGCGTCGCACACACTTCGTTGCTTTATGCGGAGGACGGTTCACTCGTCTGCTGGAGGGACTTGGTTTTGCTGCCTGGCAATTCGATCTGACCCCCCTCGGAGCTTCCAGGAACTACGTCTGTCTCCTCCCCTCTCCTCTCCCCAACCGCCGCCTCGGCTTCCCCAATAGTGCTCAATGGCACACGTTTAACCCCCTTCTCTTCGTTGCCCACGCCACAACGCAGCGTCTGCAGGCCCAAGCGAATCTTCGTGTCGTAGTCCTCCTCCTCGTCGTCTTCGGTTGGAGTGAGGCCGTTCTCCCCGGTGAGGCGGCTTCCGTCCGTGGGCTCTGGTATGGGCGCATTCTCGGCGAGCAGTTTTTTGGAGGCGTCCTTCATGCGCCCCGCGTAGCTCACCACGTTGGCCAGGATGTCCTGCTCGGCTCTGCGCAGACGCACCGCCATTTTGGTGCGGTGAGACACCTTGGGGTCCGTCAGCAGAGTGTCGTCATCCTTACAAAAGCACACGCAGGTCGTTGTGAAACAATAGAAAAAACGTGTTTAAGGAGCTCAAACTAACGCACAAGCAGCAAATATTACGAATTGTAACCATTTTTGTTTGGTTAGACACGTCATTCTCTGGCCAAATATGTGTCATAGGATCCTACACCACCCAAAATGGTCACACAAATTAAATTGTCACTCGGTGGTAAAAGCGTTTTAACGCACCAAATAGTCTAGTTTCAGTTCACTGGTATGTTGAAAACACATTCTCACAACCAAATGTTTTAATTAGAGATGTGATGTTTCCCTTGAAACTACACCAAGAGATCTTCAGGACCAGACCCAGGAAGCCAGAATACAATTCCAGAAGTCAGCTGTTTATTTCACAATATGATTTGTGTATGGCTATAATCGCCTTCTTAAACACAGACTGTGAAGAATAAAGATAGGCGTAACAACATTTAATGATTACACATTGTGAGGAAATTCTGGAGGTACTCGAGGTTCTAAATTAACCGTGGAACTTGTTTAGCCTATTATTGTAACAGGGAGGAATAACCTTTTGCAAAAACATTGAGTAAGGCAGCACGGAGGTAAAATTGTACGAAAAGCAAGACGCGGAGAAAAAAGGTACCGAGAATGAAAAATGGAATTAGGGCTGCAGAACGGTGGAGTATTCACGAGATTCTGTAACGAGTCAACATATTTCTGTACGAACTGCATAATAAAGTCAGCCCTAATCTCATCCGCAGTTGTAAGGTGGGTAATATTTCCTCAAGTCTTTAACATGTTTATAGGCGTGCCATTACACAAAACTGAATGAGCAATGGGTGTGGTTATTTCAGAGATAGATTTATTGAGCATTCCATGAAAAGTTCTATCAGTGTAAGGAAGAATACTACACGCAGGTCAAACAAGGTTATTTGAAGAGCACACATAAGAGCCACTTGATGTATTGCAAAAGGTATCTATTTGGTGTCTGGACATCTTAACACCTGCTTTATTATCAGAAAGGGTAAACCCTATTCTTATTTTTCAACACTTATGAGCACGGAGGGGTTGCAGTGATGCAATGTTTAGTGTTATGTAACAGGGAAGACCTGGAAATAGAGAAAATCTTTGGTGTTTGTTGAATTACAGCTGCCAAGGATAAGCCCAAAGGACCAAGAGACTTCAAGTGAAAAGTAAGAATAAAACAGCACTGCCAGAGTTGAAGGATAAAAGAGTCAAAACATTTCTTGAGCAATCTTATTGTCGTAAGAGTTTGTTTGGGGGAAATTAAGACAGCGGGAGGGAATTCCAAAGTTGAGCAATGCGAGGGATGAAACAGAAAGAGAAATCGCTGTTATGCGCAGTGCGGTGGGGTGAAGACAGCGTGGATGAGGAGACAAAACAGTCGGTCTTGGAGACCGCGCCCTTAACATGCGCAGTGGAATCAATGCGTGAAGGCCACGGGAGTAAAAACCTTGCCAGCAGTGACAGCGGAGCGGATACGCAGACGACCGACTGCCAGTGAACGAGCGTGTTCTGGATCATCAATCACCGTGACTGCTTCGTACTGAATCTTGCTGACCGCAGTGAGGTAAGAAACTGAGCACTTTGGAGACCGCAGTGAGGTAAGAAACTGGGCACTTTGGAGATGTTTGTCGACCGCAAGCAAGTGAGTCGGAACTCATCGACGTGAACACCGAAACCAACTTGACCACGCGTGCCCACCACACGTAGTGGTTCCCGACCACGCGTGCCGGCCAGATGCAGTGGTTCCCGACCACGCGTGTCCACAACACGTGGCGGTTCCTGACCATGCGTGCCCCACCTTGTTGTTGTTGTTGTAGGCGTGCAGCAGCAGGGAAACTCGCGTCTCCAGAAACGTCCACAGCTTGATTTCATTTTCCCAGCTGATGGGCAGCGCTGGATCTCCCAGGCGGTAAATCTTATCCATGACGTCTTCCCCGATAAGGCACACCTTCAGCTCCTCTGCAACCACAAAAAACAAAGATCCCCCGTATAGCCTTTAACAGACTGTTGGGGCAAGTGCTATGAAGGCCAGCACGATACACAAGAGGGTGGGTGGCCAACACCATGCCCAGCCGCCTTTTTCTCCCCAGTGGCGATGTTTATACACCACACCAGATACTCATTTGGGGCTGAGTCGACCTAGGGGAGGCCCAGCACCGGTTCAGATAATCGTCACCGATGTTGACCGTGAGCGGGAATCGAACTCGGGTCGCCGGATTCGTAGCGCAGCGCGCTAACCGCTACACTTTCGCTCCAAACACACACGCACAAGCAACCACACACACACACACGCACATGCATGCACACACACACGCGCTCACACACACGCACTCACACTCCTAAGTGCTTTCAACCATGAAGCGGTATCAAGGGGGTTATATACAACCACTCTCACGGTTAATTTTTTTACATAGTTGCTGGGGAAAACAGCTCCAAAACCCTAAAAGGTCAAGTGGCCAGGAATAAGCAGCACCATCAAAGTTGTAATGGAGTTAACACATCTCTTAAATGAAGCAAAGTTATAGTAAGAGCTTGGAAAAAGTGACGATGGGAGGGAATCCCAAAGTGGAGCAGGGCGAGGGAAGAAGCAGAAGAAGAAATGTGCCGAATAAAGGTTTTTTTTGGGTTAGATCGCGAAAATATGAATGTGCCTTTAAACCCGCCACAGCCAATTAGTAAGGTGTGTCACGTACACAAAACGTGCCAATTAGTTACTAGTTCAGCACACCGGTGTGTTGGAGAGTAAGCCTGAGTACGACGTTTCGCTGGTGATTACAACCAGCATCATCAGGCGATTAGCCAGAATTGTGAAGACATTCTCATGGTTCTGAGTTAGTGAGTGGAAAAGAGCTTTATAGTTCTTTGGACATCTGGGAAAAAGAGCTTTATAGCTCATTGGATTCCTCCATTATAAATACATTATTTTATTCTGAGTGAGATGGTGAGTTGGTGTGTGAGTGTATAAGTGAGTGTGTGAGTGTATCAGTTTGTGGGTGTGTGAGTTTGCGAGTGACTTGGTGAGTGTGAGTGTGCGAGTTGGCGAGCGTGTTGTGACGTGCCGTGTAGTGGTTGAGCAGTGTGGATGATACAAAACAGTCCATCCGGTTTATTGAGTCCTCAATATGGTTGAAGGACTCAATGCGTGAAATACGTTTTAAAGGCCGTGGCATCAACATGTAGTTTATTTTCTTAATTATGAAAGAAAACGTCAGTCTCAAGATCCGTTCAAAAATGGTTTTGGTGGTCAGTTACTTACAGATATATTTTTTTCCGTGTGAGGAAACCAAACCACCCTGACTTTTTTACGGCAAACATTAAATAAAAAATCCAGTTAAAAAGTTACTCATAACTAAGTTACTGCCATCTACTGGCCATTCTCTTAACCGCAGGAGGGTACTTAATGCACATTTCTGAAAATGCTTAATGGCCTACTGAAGGCTAATCTGCCTTTGGCATTGCTATGATTATGGTATTACTATCCTTTTGCCATTGGCCTAACGAACGATGCACTGCCTACAGGAGTTAGGAGGCAAGCACATATTGAGGCATCTCTCACATTTCAACCCTCACTCTGCCGCCTTCCCTTCGCGACGGCATCTGGATATTTATACTCGCTGACAATAATGGCAGCCGTCATTCGCCAGGAAGTTCCGGTTGTTACATCATCACAGCGCTAAAGATCATGGGACAGGCCCAGGTATTATGGGTTAACGGACAAGACTGGCAAATTCACCAGCTGTGCTCCCCACTGTGCCAACTTGTTATGTGATAGCACTGAGCACTCTGCTCATTGTTGTGAGCATTGCTCTTTCAGCTCCACTGTTGGTGAAAAATTGGGTTTCCTCTCTGTGGGAGCACGTCAAATTGGGTAGAAGTTGGATTTTTTGAAGAATACATTTCAAGTTTAAACTTTAGCTTTTCAACACGTGGAAAAATGCCCTCAAAAGATCCATCAACGCCATCCCCAAAAATGCTGCATAACAGTTGTGTGCTTCGTGCTTGGCAAAAACACATCGCGGGTTTGGGAAAGTGACATTTTTGGTGGGGATGTGCCTGCAAGAGCGCAGCTCCTTACCCTCCGTCATGCAGAACGTCCGCAGGAAAGCGAGCAGCTGGGCTGGTATGGGCTGGTCTCCACAGTGCAGTGCAAACATCGTGGAACTGCAGACAAACAAAAACTCAGTTTAACACTCAGTTGGCTTTCGTGACCAATGTTATCCCTAGAGGTTTATTTGGGTTAGATAGTGTCAATATAAATGTGTAGGACAAACAGGACGATTCCTCCACAAATCTGGCTGTTGCCTGATGAGGCTGGTTATCGTAATTACTGGCAAAACGTCGTACTCAAATTGTAAATGTTGTGGGTTTACTCTTCAACACACCGGTGTGCTGAATTAGTAACGAATAGGCACGTTTTGTTTGCGTGACAAACCTAACTCTCATTGGCTGTGCCGTGTGGTGGCGTGTTTAACAACACATTTATTGTTACGTGATCTAACCCAAAAAAAACCTCGATTATGGAAACAAAAACTCTAACGACCACCACTAAGCTATCACGATCACAACAAAATGTCATAATGTCATGATCGGAGGACACTTGGAAGTCGATCAATACCGAGGGCAGACTTCTTGCCAATAAGGACCTTAGTTTTATCAATATTCAGACAGATGATATGTAAAATATATGGGTTGACAAAAGATTGATAGCAGAATGAAAACACTGAAACTGCAAACAAATAGAAATGTAAATGTGTGGTACTGTTATGTGTACACATGCATGTTTGGATGTTGGATCGGCCGTGTGGATATGTCCTCATTAATGTGTGAGAACATATGCAGAGGTGTATCATATATGTGCTTGAGTATGAGCAATGCTGATGTTTATTATTCCACTGCCTTGGCCAGGAAAGCCTTACCAAGTCTCAGGATTATTGTTCAGGAGGGTCCTACAAAGTTCTCAGTCGGGGGCCACATTGCTGTGTGCAATCTCAATTGAGTAACTTGCCTTTAATTTTTCAGCATTGGGATACTTGTGCAATACCCGTAAAATTATTATGGTTTTAGGAAAGAGAGAAAACTGCAGAAGCTGGAGGAAACCCATGCAGAACGAGGCAGAACAAACAAACTCTACGCAGAAAGGCGCCCGAGTCGGGAATGGAACCCAGGCCCAAATGTCAGTGTGCACGCCGTCTGTGTGCGTGCACTTGCACAGAGGAGCGGTAGCGTAGCGGTCAGCGCGCTGCGCTAGGAACCCAGTGACCAAAGTTCGACTCCGGCTCGTGGTCGACACCAGTGACAATTATCTGAAATGGTCCTGGGCCTCCCCTGGTCGACTCAGCCCCAAATGAGTAGCTGGGGCGGTGTGTAAACATTGCCACTGGGGAGACAAAGGCGGCCGGGCGTGGTGTTGGCCACCCACCCCCTTATGTGCCATGCTGACCTTGATAGCACTTGCCCCAACAGTCTGTTAAAGGCTATACGGGGAACTTTGTTTTTTGTGGTTGCAGAGGAGCTGAAGGTGTGCCTTATCGGAGATGGCCATCCACCCACTCGTAGGTGCTCGCTAACACCACTTACCCCAACAGTCTGTTAAGGCTACACGGGGGATCTTAAGTCTTTGTGCGCTGCATGAGCACTCACGCAGGAATCCCTCCGCGCGCCAGGATCTCCGACTTCATGGCATAGAGACGCTCGCTCTTGCTCACGCCCAGCTTGATCTTGACTCGGTCGTTTGCATTGCCCTCGAAAAAGAAGCCATTGTGGATGACGAAGTCCGCATTGGAGCGGATCCCATAGAAGATGTAAATCTGGGGTTTGAACGACATGCAGGGAAAATGTGACTGGAAAATAAAATTGACATCAACTCGACACACAAATTTGTTTTGCTTCCCGATTGCTGATCCGCTTTGATGCAGTTTCAGTTTCCAGAGAAACGTTGAATCGGATTGCTAAATGTGGCTGCGAAGATTTGCTCTTCAACTCGCCGGAGAGCTGAAGCAACATCCATCGACGTGATAAAACGCTTGTACACGTGGAGGGTTTCATGACAAAAATTTGGCGCTATTATTACATGGCCTAGGAGAAATGTCAAATGATTAACCAACAAGGGTAGTGATCCAATGATCGATCAATAAAGTGTGAAATACATTTCAGCGCCATGATTGTGAACTCCTGCGACTCTGCTACGATGAATACAACTTCAGCGGCTTCACAGCCTCACTGCTCGGACATCCGCAGCAGCCACGGGTGGCGAGGTCAGAAAGGCCGCACGGCAATGACCACCAGCACAGTGGCAGAGCTGCGATGTTGGACACTTCATTAGTTTCCAAAAAGTCACAAACGTCCAATGCCATTGATATGACCACACCTTAATTCATGTCAACTTGCAATGCGCCAGCGGGCGGTATTCGCTCGCTCTCGAATAACAATATCACGACGTTTCGATCGCAACACAAGCAATCGTCATCAGGTGAAAAATATAGCGGGAGAGCTGCTGAGGCAAGGAGTTAAAGGTTTGAGATGGGTGTAGCCCAAGGGTCAGTGGGCGGGGCTAGAGATGAAATTTGCATGTAAATGTAAGATCGGAGAAATATTGACACACGAAGATGTTGGGGTAGCTATTGTATTGTGAATGATAACTTTCTATCCTTTTCCACCTCCATGGTGAATTTGATGGCTGGGTGTATGGAATTGATGTGGTTGAAGAACTGGTCCAGAGCTCGTAGGCCATGTGGCCAGATGATGAACGAATCATCTACGTACCTCTTCCACAAGGAAGGACGTAGGGTGGATGTCTGGATGGCATCTGTCTCAAATTTCTCCATGAAAACATTGGCTACAACTGGAGATAAGGGAGAACCCACTGGGGTACCTTCAACTTCCTACCTTAGCAGCGCTCCCACCATATATTTTTTCCTGCCTCAGCAGCTCTCCCGCTATATTTTTTACCTGATGACGATTGCTTGTGTTGCGATCGAAACGTCGTGATATTGTTATTATTTTTTCTTATTTTTCTATCTACGTGGCTTTACCGAAAGACCCAGGAATATGAATTCCTGCAGTCCTGAAAGCTTTAAGTCAAGATTCATCCCCATCCTACCAGATAAAGCCCACTGAGGTATGAATTTCTTTTTCATAAGAGACCTGGCCACAAATGATAGCTCATCAAAGTGGCTTATCATTTGGACATTTATAGCAGCAAATGAATCTAAAAAAAAAATATATATACAGGTGTTTTCAGAAATTAATTAGTGTTCACATGTGATTATTCTGAACCTTGTTTGGCCACTGCTGTACCCCCACTTGTTGAATTTTGTTTCAACTGAGTATCCCCCTTTGCCTGACCCAACATGGTTGAGAAATAAATGTGAATAATGAACATCGACATTTTAACCAATTGTCCATCTTGTGAGGTATCATAACTAGCAAAATAACTTGCAAGTAAATAAAAATTCAACGGACACTCTGCATGTGTGACGCCATTTGTTCACGCTCACTGGTTACACTTGGAAGCCACATTGTTTACGATCAACGAGTTTATAAAGGTTTTTTATATCGTTCTAGATTATCATATGGATTAAATAGGTTATCTTAGTTATTTTGTATTGGCAGATTAATACATCATTATTCACCAATAACTCTCATGCACGATATAATTTCACACATTAATAAATCACCTCATGTACCCCTTGGGACATTGCCACATTACCCAAAGGGATACCACCGCCTGAGAACCAATGCCATACAGAATACAACACAATTTACAGTTGCATCTAAATGCAACTGCATCTTCAGATACTTTACAAGGGAAAATGAATAAACAATTAGCTATATATACACAGTGAGGGAAAACAGTATTTGATCCCCTGCTGATTTTGCACGTTTGCCCACTGACAAAGAAATGATCAGTCTATAATTTTAATGGTAGGTTTATTTGAACCGTGAGAGACAGAATAACAACAAAATCCAGAAAAACGCATGTCAAAAATGTTATAAATTGATTGGCATATTAATGAGGGAAATAAGTATTTGACCCCTCTGCAAAACATGACTTAGTACTTGGTGGCAAAACCCTTGTTGGCAATCACAGAGGTCAGACGTTTCTTGTAGTTGGCCACCAGGTTTGCACACATCTCAGGAGGGATTTTGTCCCACTCCTCTTTGCAGATCTTCTCCAAGTCATTAAGGTTTCGAGGCTGACGTTTGGCAACTCGAACCTTCAGCTCCCTCCACAGATTTTCTATGGGATTAAGGTCTGGAGACTGCCTAGGCCACTCCAGGACCTTAATGTGCTTCTTCTTGAGCCACTCCTTTGTTGCCTTGGCCGTGTGTTTTGGGTCATTGTCATGCTGGAATACCCATCCACAACCCATTTTCAATGCCCTGGCTGAGGGAAGGAGGTTCTCACCCAAGATTTGACGGTACATGGCCCCGTCCATCGTCCCTTTGATGCGGTGAAGTTGTCCTGTCCCCTTAGCAGCATGTTTCCACCTCCATGTTTGACGGTGGGGATGGTGTTCTTGGGGTCATAGGCAGCATTTCTCCTCCTCCAAACATGGCGAGTTGAGTTGATGCCAAAGAGCTCCATTTTGGTCTCATCTGACCACAACACTTTCACCCAGTTGTCCTCTGAATCATTCAGATGTTCATTGGCAAACTTCAGACGGGCATGTATATGTGCTTTCTTGAGCAGGGGGACCTTGCGGGCGCTGCAGGATTTCAGTCCTTCACGGCGTAGTGTGTTACCAATTGTTTTCTTGGTGATTATGGTCCCAGCTGCCTTGAGATCATTGACAAGATCCTCCCGTGTAGTTCTGGGCTGATTCCTCACCGTTCTCATGATCATTGCAACTCCACGAGGTGAGATCTTGCATGGAGCCCCAGGCTGAGGGAGATTGACAGTTCTTTTGTGTTTCTTCCAATTGCGAATAATCGCACCAACTTGTTGTCACCTTCTCACCCAAGCTGCTTGGCAATGGTCTTGTAGCCCATTCCAGCCTTGTGTAGGTCTACAATCTTGTCCCTGACATCCTTGGAGAGCTCTTTGGTCTTGGCCATGGTGGAGAGTTTGGAATCTGATTGATTGATTGCTTCTGTGGACAGGTGTCTTTTATACAGGTAACAAGCTGAGATTAGGAGCACTCCCTTTAAGAGTGTGCTCCTAATCTCAGCTCGTTACCTGTATAAAAGACACCTGGGAGCCAGAAATCTCTGATTGAGAGGGTGTCAAATACTTATTTCTCTCATCAAAATGCAAATCAATATATACCATTTTTGACATGCGTTTTTCTGGATTTGTTTGTTGTTATTCTGTCTCTCACTGTTCAAATAAACCTACCATTAAAATTATAGACTGATCATTTATTTGTCAGTGGGCAAACGTACAAAATCAGCAGGGGATCAAATACTTTTTTCCCTCACTGTATACATGAAAACAAATGTGTTCTTCGGTATCGGCTTGAACAGGGGCAGCAGTCTCCAATGGCGTGGAGTTTAAGAGGAAAATAATCCCAGAGGACACAAGCAGAAGATGATAAACAGCGAGGCTCCTATGGAGTGAAGGTTGAAGAATGAAGCAGCGAGGCTCCCACGGAATGAATGTTGAAGAATGAAGCAGCGAGGCTCCCACGGAGTGAAGGTTGAAGAATGAAGCAGAGAGACTCCCATGGAGTGAAGGTTGAAGAATGAAGCAGCGAGGCTCCGACGGAATGAATGTTGACTGAGCATATTTGTAAGTAGGAGGGGAGGCCTTTGTTTCTTAGGAGTGCAGACGAGTCAGAGAAATAAGTTAAATGAGAGAGAGAGGTGAGGTAAGAGGTAGGAGTGGCAATACCATAAAGAATATTAAAAAGTCTCTACACTTAACAAGAGCCAGTGGAAGAGATTCCGGCAGTACTGGAGACATATGATCACGATTCTGTGTACGGGTGCGGAGCCTTGGTTCGGGCATACCGAAGAGGCAGGTGTTATTTTGCATTTTTGCTCGACTGTCTTCTCCTGGCAAGCTCGGGTTATAGCACCTTGATGCCCATGGGGAGATTCACAGCCTTTGTGTGATCCACCAACCCTCGCCTCCACAATGCCGGATTACAGGCCACGTGGCATTGCCAAAACCGCTTCCTGCTGCTGGATGTCGGATTTGTCATAACGCTGACACCAGACTTCAACATCTGGCCTTTGGTCATCCCCGTTGGTCGCTGACCTCCGGGTGCCATTCCAACGCCCGTCTCTGCCGCCTGCCCTCTTCCAGTGCACTTCGGGTGTCGGGTGGTAAAAGTGCACTCTTGCACTGGGATCAACAGCAAAGCAGGAAATGCACTGCAACAGGTGCAATTGTTTTCCGTCAACGGATGGATCTCCTGTAATGTTTACCCACTTGCACTGCTCAACCTCAGCATTACATATTCACTGCCATGATTGGCGACATCACACATGGTAACCATCACGCGTCACTTTGCGTTCGTTAACAGTCAACAGCACTTGAAGCAACAATATGAGCAACGGTTGTCACGTGTGCATAAGTTTATCGAAAAAACGGACGGGCGCCTTTACTCCGTGATTTGTTTCCCGACACGGCGTCGCTCGTTCGGCGCAGGCTCGCGACGAGCCTGCGTCCTGTGCCGTACCTGGTCGCCGGGTTTGAAGTCGCGCAGGGCAACGCACTCGCAGCGGTCATCTTCCATGTTGTAGCCGGTTGTGATCTGCAAGACGGAACACATGGGTTTGTATCTTCTGCCAGCCACAGCCTGATGTAACTGAACATGGTTTGTTACTCTTAAAGCAGAATTTCTACTTGCATGTTTAAGTTTATTTTGTTTGCTACACGATCATGTTCAGCTATCCGTACTGAGTGCACACAGCGGCAGCAAAAAAACAAAGACCAAAACAACATTGTGCAACTAACAAACCCGGGGTACTTAACGGTCATAAAAACGAAATGCACGAGTAATAAAAAAAAAACACCAGTGCAGGTTGTGCTCTGTACCAGTCCATTGGTGTGGTTGCACATGTCCCACAAGGGAATGAGAGCCAGGGTGACTGTGGAGGCATCCTCCATTGGGATCTGGTTCTGTCGTGTCATCACTGTAGAAATTGCCCACCTGACACACACACAAAGACCCCCCCCCCCGTATAGACTTAACAAACTGTTGGGGCAAGTGCTGTTAGCGTGCACCTATGAAGGCTGGCACAGAACACGAGGGGGTGGGTGGCCAGCACCACGCCCGGCCACCTTTGTGTTCCCAAGTGGCCATGTTTACACACCGCACCAGGTAGTCATTTGAGGCTGAGTTGACCTAGGGGAGGGCGAGGACCAGTTCAGATATTCGTCATTGGTGTTGGCCATGAGCAGGAATTGAACTCGGGAGTTTGGGTTCGTAGCACAGCGTGCGTACCGCTACACTACCGCTCCACACACCCATACACATGAGATCAACATCATAAAGGGATGTTACGTAAAACCAGAGGTTAACTTACTACATCTGACATGAAGGTTTTTGCAGCCAATATAATGCCTTTTTAAGAAGCTGGGTTAGGTGAGATGGTTATTCTGACTACCAAGATCTTATTCTGACTTTAGATCATGTCCTGAAGATGCTTGGATTGGTTTCAAGCTAGACGTCACGTATCTAATTGCTCAATTTGGTTTCGAGAAATGTCCTTCAACTTACTGGCGAGCTGTAACGAAAATAATTGGTGCATTAAATTATCGTGCACCACGTGACAATTTAATTTGTTCGGCTGTGTCAGGTGGAGGATTTATGTCTTATGACATAAATTTGGCCAGATCCTTACATGACTTAACACAAAAATGTATTCTGAATCTTTCTATTACGTATCTTAAACACCATAATGGGCATGGTTCACGCTGGCCAACTGTGATTGTAACTGTACAGAATCCAAAATAAAATGTCATCATCCCTTTTACCGCCCTTGTCAATCCACTGCTGAATGAGGGCCTCCCCTTGATGCGTAGGTCGAGGGGCTTATGTGAGCATATTTTACCACGCTGGTGAAGGCGGTAAAGCACAATAATGTTCGTTGCTGCACTGGCATCTGCTGCCCCCACGTGGTCCAAGTCGATAGCAAGTCCAAGTCAAGGTCCTGCTGCTTCAATGAGCATTTACAGTGCTAATCTCCCATTATGATGATTGTAGTTTCAATTCCTAATGCACCGCACAGTGTCCGCTCGCTCTCCTAAGAGGGACACGGCTCAGGGGCGCGACGAGGAACCACAAACGAGCAGGAAAGGCAGCAGCTGCGCTGTGACCCGGTGCCAAATTAACCCCCAAGCACTGCAGTCCTATATATATTAAGGTGCTATTGGCCAATAAATTAGTGTTTGCATGTGGGAGGAAATCGGAGTCCCCGCAGACAACTCACGCGTGCAAGGGGGCAACACTCTATCCTGTTCTGATGGAAAAGAGTCCACATTTGCCTATCTGCCCAATTGCTGGCAAATTTGGTTAGTTACAGGAATGGTTAAACAACTATATATTATAATACTGAATGTAATCCATAATGCAAAATGATTCGAATTGCTACTACTGATAAGAATGGAACGTTTTTGAAGCTCTGCTCTAGAAATATAAATTTATTCCGAATAAATTTACTTTTATTAATCTGCATTATTATTCCTTCCGAGTAAATGATTTTGGATCTGTAATTAGTTCCTATCCATGCAAATTAGATATATTTAATATGCATACGTGCATGTGAATTCAATCAAATACATGCTAATACAGTACAAAATAGAATTGGCATTGGTAATTCATGCACAACCTAAACAACGCAAAATTTGTGCCAATGCACTTCACGTTAATCCATGTTTGTTAGAGGTTAGGCTGCAAAGTAGTTCAATGCCAACACTCTTGTCATTCAGCCTCCACCACCCGACAAGCCTGTCACGTTTAGAGAAGCTATTATTTAAACGTGCCATTGCATGGATCAATTTATGACCCATAGAACTCCTCACGGGTGGCATAAATCTTTTCACGCTGGAATTTAACATCAACAAATCGACGCGTCGCTCCAACTCGTGAGAGCTTCATCAGGTAGTGAACTTGGAGGTCGTGTGAGGCTGCCTCATCTCCACTGTACCTTCAGTACCCGCAATGACAGCACCAACTGGCGTAAGTCATTCCCGTATATGTGTCTAAAACTAAACGATTTTTTTTTATTTTACAAGGTAAAGCCCAATAAGCTATGTAGCTCTTTTTCAGAAGTGACCTGGCTATCACACACGATAGCTCAACGAAGTGGCTTATCACGTGGACATTTATAGCAGCCAAATACTCTAAACGCAAGTTTATTCTACATTTTCAGGGAAAAACCGGAGGGTCCGGAGAAAAATCCACGTGACCACGGGGATAACATGCAAACTCCAAATATACAGGTGTCAGGGTCGGGATCGAACCCACGACCTCCTGTATACCAGGTGAGGCAGTTAACATCTCGCCACCGTGGCGCCTCTTCGTTTAAATGGTACTTATTTCAAATGTCTTCAAAGGAATCCATTCAAATTGGACTTCAATTTAAATGGGATACTTTTATCCATAAGAGGTTTGAGTTAGATCGCGTAAATATTGTTTGCGAAAGCCTGCGTGTTAAACGGGCTACTTTTAACAAGTAATTTTGTTTTTTTAACAAAGACCCACCTGTAATCGTCGTACGTGAATGAATCCCTCAGAGGAAGCTTGCTGGCAGCCGGGTGATTCTGCAAATGAAAAAGTGACAAAAGTGGAATGTTTCCAATTACTGCAGGAATGATGACATTTATACCGCCGTATTTGATTTTTCGGTCGACTTATTTTGTAATTTTAAATTATTCTACCATGTCTATTTATTCTGTTCCATGTTCCAATCCCTACCACTAAATTTTGACTTAACTTTCGTGACTGCAGGAATTCATATTCTTTGGTTCTTTCGGTAAAGTCACGTAGATACAAAAAAATAAAGAGAATAAAAATATCACGACGTTTCGATCGCAACATAAGTGGTCGTCATCAAGACCGCTGATGACGACCATCGTGATATTTTTATTCACTTTATTTGTATTATTGTTTCTATCTACGTGACTGTACCGAAAGAACCAAAGAATATGAATCCCTACCACTAATAAAAAGTCAAAAAGATGTAAGAAATGAGCAAGGCTGTAGAGCTCTCGAAACGTAGAAGTTTGAAGGGACCAGTTTATATTTCGTGGATGAAATTAATTTCTGAGGCAACCAGAGTGGTCTGAAAAGCAGATGTGTTTAATAGTCAAGTCCACTAATTTCCTGCTCAAAAGAGCACCGAGGGCGGTGCCCATCTGCAATTTAACGCCCCAAGCCAGTGGTGAAAATTCCACAAGCCTATGGCAGGAGCGAGTCCATCCATAGGACAACAGCTGGTAACTTCCCTACAGAATAGTATTCATAAACTTGACCCTGCAGGGATGATGGGATGAGTTAAGCAACCAAGATTTTTACGAGAAATCGTCGGATTACGAGTCGCTCGCTCCACCCGGTGAGCTACCTGCAATTAATAAAAGTGTATAATTACAAAAAGAATCGTGTATATACGGCCAAACGTCCCACAAACACTTTCAGATGTGGAATAATTTATTAACAAAAAAGCTTTTTTATAATAACAAACGCGACCAAAACCAAATCACAGTTTGGACCCACGGGTGCAAGTCTCACCTGCATGAGGCGGTAGAAGTAGGCGTACTGGCGAGCGATGCTCTTGTACTGAGCAAGCACGTCAGGGAGCGCCTGCGTGGCTCGGAAGTACGCCAGCTCATCGGCCTGGCAGTATAGCGGAGTGTCGTAGGTGGATGGGAGCGAGCGAATATACGGCTGCCAGAAGGAAGAGGGGTTGGCACGTTCGCACAGCAACTGCAGCGCCAGTGCCACGTTCTCCATCGCCTGCATGACGCGGTCTTCTGCCATCAGGGGACCTGGGCGCACGCGAGGGCAACACGGACACGCGTGGAGGTGCACACACATGTGCCAATAAGCACAGGGACCTAACAGAGAGATGAGGAAGCTCAATCAAAGCGAAGACATCATTCGTCTCATCCAGACTGTGTTCAGCCACCACGCTGCAGGTCACAACACTTCTCCGTGTCTTCCCTCGCACTTCTCCACTTTGGAATTGCCTCCCATCATCGTCTCGTTTACAAAAGCTATTGTAACTTTGCTCAATGAAAAATAAAACGTGTTAATTTTTATCCTGAACCTTCATCGTGCTATTTCTTGCCGGTCATTTGAGGTTTTGGGCCCGTGCTCAGCAACCCCGATTAAAAATGATAATCAGGTCTCCTAGTTACCTTAACCATGCCGGAGACGACAAGGCTTACCGAGAACAGAGGACTTCACGGATTCAGCCGTCATCGTCATGCGGCGTGGAATCCACAGGAACAGCTCGTCCGCCTGTGCAAGGCACGCACACACGCATGCACACACGCGAACATGTTCACTCACAGGCAAAACCCCGTAGCCAGACACGCACACACTTGAGACGTAACAAAACAACGTTTCAGTCCACCTGTGAGATGCATGTGAACATCTCACATGAACATCTCACTAATGAACAGATAGGTGCACCGCAGCAAGCTACATGTACATCCATCTCTTTTATCACAACAATGCTATGAGAAATAGTATCAATTATATTGAACACTGTTTCGTATATACAATGTAATGAACAAACGTGGTTGTTACACAGAGTGAAAACATGTTTTTATTGTAATGTTTGTGAATGTGCGGGCATACGAGTCTCTGCAAATTAGGCATGTAAGTAAGACTGTGTCCGTGAAGCACGGCACCTTCCTTCATGATAGCCTTGCGCTATGAGAATTCCGCAAATAGCAAATGTACCAAATTACTATTACTCTTTGGTTCTTTCGGTAAAGTCACATACAAAATAAAATCAAATTACTACAATAGCCCAGAAATGTGTGTAACGCGCGTGACGTCACTCCACATGCCACACCCCCCCGTCATTAATAATAAAATAATCATGAGCGGGTGCATTTTTACACTCGCGCGGAAGAAGGCGGAAAGATATTTTGTTTTCGCAAAGTTGCTTCAAATATGACGTTTCTTTAAAGAAAGTGATGGTAAAAAATAAATATACGCAGCACAGTGCTACATTCGTACGTGACGTCATTGCAAAAGAACCCCCCCCCCATCATTGCTATCATAAGCAAGACATTTTTTTACACAAATTCGCTTAAAATTTGACGTTTGTTTATTTAAAGTTAATCAAATAAATAATTATACGCAGCAACAAAGTGTATTTGGTGTCTTCATTTATTTCTTCAGCACTTGAAACAAAAGGTAAGTCTAATATTTGCTTCTAAATTATGATAAAATACATACATGTCTCTGTGATTCTCCAGACATTGTATCGAATTCAAATTTATTACAACCCCAGCGAGCGAAAGCAGAAGAAAATAAAGTATCAGAGCAGTGAATTTGAACTAATTGAAGGGGAGTTAAATGCAGTGCTACAGTGACATGAAGTGAGGTGTTTTATGACATAGTTTAGTGCAAGAATCACTGCCATTAAGATAGAGATTCACACAAAATATCGTATACCAAGGTTTCATTTTTTAAGTTAAGAAAAATTTATTTACGTGCAACAATTCCCAAAAAATTTACAATCACACAAGAAAACGTAAATGTACATCTTTAATATTACAGCTTCCGTTCTAGGACAGGCAAAAGACTAATTGAAGGTCAGTTAAATACAGTGTTACAGTGACATGCAGTGTAGTGTTTGATGACATTATTTTGTGCAAGATTCACTGCCATTAAATTTACACAAGATATTATATCTGCTCAATTTTTTCGTAAATATCACAGCTTCCGTCCTAGGACGGGCAAAAGGCTAGTAATAATAGAATACGACGTTTCGGTTGCAACACAAGCAACCATCGTCACGTAAGAATGAATGATAAAACACAGACACGGGAACAGCATAGGCAGACACACATGCAGAGAGAGACCCACACAAAGACACACAGTGCGAGACACACACCAAGACGAACAGAAGGACAACAAATCTGTGCCGAGGCCTTAAAAAGAGAGAGGGGGGAGGGGCGGGGCAGAGAGAGGACTGGGGAGGCGGGACCAGCTGACAAACGAGGGGACAAATATGGAGCAGTGTGGAATTCCGGATCACAGTGGCCAGAGCAAGAAAATCTAAAGTTTAAGAAAATCTAAAGTTTAAGAAAGCAAATTTAGTAAAATTAAGTGTAATGCAATGCAACACAGAGGGTCGGTTAACACACAGTCAACGCGTAACCCGGTTGATTAATGTTCTTCCAAATAATGATAAATTAGTAAAGTGTGATAAAACACAGACACGGAAACAGCATAGGCAGGCCCACAAGCAGAAAGAGACACAACACAAAGACACACCGAAACAGCATAGGCAGACCGATATGTAGAAAGAGACACACAACCCAAAGAGGGAGCAGTGTAGAATTCCGGAGCACAGTGGCCAGAGGAGAGACAATGGTTTAGAGCAAGAAAATCGAAAGTTTGAGAAAGCAAATTTAGTAAAATTAAGAAGTGTAATGCAATGCAACACAGAGGGTCGGTTAACACACAGTTCACGCAAAGCCTGGTTGATTAACGTTCTTCCAAAGATTGCTAAATTCGAAGTAAAGTGTGATAAAACACAGACATGGAAACAGCATAGGCAGACCCACATGTAGAAAGAGACAACAACAAAGACACACCGAGCGAGAAATAAGAAGTTTGACAACAAATTTAGCAAAAACAGAGAGTGTAATGTAATGCAACGCAGAGAGTTGGCTAACACACAGTTAACGCACAGCCTGGTTGATTAACGTTCTTCCAAAGATTGCTAAATTCGAAGTAAAGTGTGAGTTGTGAGTAAACGCTCCCCGTAGAGGTCGTTAAAAATAGATTTAAATTACTATTAATATTACATTTCCTAACTTTGTCAGAAATAACAGAAGTTGTAATTATCCAGCAGTCAATAAAACTATAAAAAACTAAACTATTATTATTTGTATTTTTTGGGTCTTTCGGTAAAGCCACGTAGATAGAAAAATAATAATAAAAAAAATATCACGACGGTTCGATTGCAACACAAGCAATCGTCATCAGGTAAAAAAATAGTGGGAGAGCTATTCAGGCAGGAAAAAAATATTATTATATTACCAGCTAAGGTCCACTAAAACTACATGGCTTTTTTTCAGAGCGACCTTGTCACAAATGATAGCTCAACGAAGTGGCTTATCATCATGTGGAAATGTATAGCAGCCAAATATTAAACGCATGTTGATACTAAACGTGTATGGAAAAACCAGAGGACCAGGAGAAAATTCCACGTGACCACAGGGAGAAGATGGACACTCCAAATATACAGGCATCAGGGTCGGGATGGAACCCATGACCTCCTGCTTACCAGGCAAGGGAGTTAACATCTTGCCACCGCTGTGCCCCTAAAATAAATAATCTTGAAACTTAATTTCTGTAAGGTGTAAAAGCTTGCACAAACACACGTGAGTATACACAGGTGGGTCTGTCACACACCTTGATGTCTCTCATGGCTTTCAGGCCATAGCCTTCATCAGCAAACGTCACAATTTCCACGCCCTCTGCCAGGATGCCATTTCCCACAGCCCAGTTCATGAACTCTTCAAAAGACTCATCACGACTACCAGCATACACCACCGACAGACCTGTGTAAAAATAATGAAACGCAGATATGTGATTTACTGTTACGTTGCCCGTGATATCAGCCTCCAAAACTGGGCCACAGCAGTGGTGGAGTCTCGCATTTAGTCCCTCGCATTCACACGAGGCACAACAGGTAAAAATACGCAAACAAGTTAGAATCGTTGATATAAAGATAATCTTTCCTATGATATTTGACATGTCTCGTTGTTGGGTGTGTTTCATATGATATTAGTTATGCAGGAATGCACATTACATAAAAAATGTAATTCCCATTAGGTCCCGTGGCATAAATTAGAGACTCCACCCTATGTCTCTGGCTTCTCTATTTACGAGCTATGAAGAAGGGCCATTACCCGAAACGTTGCCGCTTATATATTTTTACTTTTAAAACCACAACACATTATTGCCAAATGTGTTTGAGTTTTAAAAAATAAAAAATATGGATATTTCAGTAATTTGGGGCATTGGCAAATACAATTTTAGGCAAAAAGCATAAAGTTCAGTACGCGTACGAAAACAACGAGCGTCACGCGTGCTTATGCACTCTCACCCTTCTGCTTCTTGCGAATCTTCTCAACAAGAACACGGACCTGCAGGTACTCGTCCCACTCCTTGCCAGGTGCGGGAGGGGGACCGCTGCACACTGGGAGCAGGCAAAATACGGAGGTCGGATAATTTAGGAGACACTTCTGTAGTTTGTCATTTCCACAATGAGACATATGCCTTCTTTGGTTCTTTCGGTAAAGTCACGTAGAATGATAATAAAATAATAAATTGATAAAATAAAATAACACAATATTCTCTTTATCAATTTATTATTTTATTATCATTCTACGTGACTTTACCGAAAGAACCAAAGAAGATGAATCATTGCAGTCACGAAAGCTTTAAATAGAGACATATGCCATTGAGGAAGGCGTGTAAATAACATGGCAACACGCTCGTGCAACTAATCGCCAGTAGTTGTTTTACTTAGGTGCGTCAGTTCACGTTTTCAGCTTAAGCATCCAACGGGACTGCATGGGGCCCGATTCAGGAACAGGGCTCTTTTTCCTGCTTTGAGGAAGTCTCACAGCAGGATCTTTCACAAAAAGCCATTGCACTTAATTCACAGCCACATTTTGGCTTTGTTCTGCCCCCACAGTATATGCAGAGCACTGTTCATTTGTCGAGTAACACCAACCGATTGTACGCATGTCAGACACGCACACATACACCGATGTGCGCGTGTGTACATGCACACATACACCGATGTGCGCGTGTGTACATGCACTTTGCGAAACAGTTGTAAACCAAATGGGACCTTTTTGCCAGTATAAAAGTGGCAAAAAGGTCCCATTTTGAAAGTGCTGCTCACCCCAAGCAATAAATGCTCTGATAGTGCATTGTCTTTGTGCTGTGCACCTTTTGGCGATCTGTGACCTGACACTGGTGAGAATAGGCCTTAAAGAAGGCTGTCTAGGGTGTAGGCCAATCAGTTTCAAAGACAATGCATAGATTATTGGTTCTTTCGGTAAAGTCACGTGACTTTACCGAAAGAACCAAGAATATGAATCCCTGCAGTCACGAAAGCTTTAAATCAAAATTTAATGCATATATTATCAGAGCATATTTGTTTGCATGTTCACCACAAGTACGTGTGGTTAATGCAGACTTGATTCCTTGCAAAAGATTTCTGTTTAGTGTTTAACATCGTAACACCTCCTGTTTAGTTGCCAGAAAGGGTAAAACCTATTCTTATTTTTTCATAGTTCTAAACCCATTCCGCAGATGCAAATCGATTGCTGAGCATGGGGCAGTGACACGGCAAAGCAGGAGTGCAATACGCTGCTACGTGCAGAGGTTCGCGGTTTGCATGCGGCAGGCCACCCCTTGCTACGACTGTGATGCGTACAAAACACAAATATACAACGCGCCCTCCGCCTCACGGTGAACTTTTAAAAGATCCCATGATGTAATTGGAGGCGAGCAGGCCAGTGTGCTGGCGCCATGGTTCAAACTTGCTCAATTGAAAAAAAAATCACACTTAATGGGGATGAGACAGCAAGCATAGCCCCATGCTGGCAGGCGAGTGCCCCCTCGTCACGGTGGCCAGATGTAAGCTTCATCCGGTTTTTCCCTCCACAATTAGAATCAACATGCATTTAGATTACGCTGCTATAAATTTCCACGTGATAAGCCACTTTTTTGAGCTGCAATGATTTGTGGCCAGGTAGCTTCTGGAAAAGAAGCTAATAGCTAAGTGGGCTTTACCTTGAAAAATAAAAAAAAGTTTTATTTTTTGTGATGTTCTTACCTTTCCTATACTTGTCACTCCTATTGTGTTTTTGTCGTTGTTGTAACTTTCTTACCCCATGCTCCTACTGGACATCAGTGAAAAAGAGCTTCATAGCTCATCGGATTCCTCCTACAGTATAGATAAAAATTCTGATTGGCTTGCAGGCCGATGTCGAGGCACCTCGTGTCAGCATGGGAACAGCTGCCACTGGGGGTGCCCTTAGAATGTTTTGAGATGTGATGCAAGGCGCTTTGAGTTGCTGAGCCATTCCACGCGTCACAACTACTAGGGTGGTGTGCTTGGGCGAAGAGGCTCACTCTGCAGCAGCTCCGCGATGAGCCCCATCATCTCCTTGCCACTGGGAGAGGCGCTCATTCCCGCACCACCTGTCACCTTCTGGGTCTTGACACGACTTTTCTTCCCCATATTGCCGGATGGGAATCTGCGCACGCACAAACACACACAAGGGTACACACACACAAGGGTACACACAAACACGCAAGAATATAAATAGCATCGTACTTGCCGCAACAAGAATACTTGCATTAGTCTGTGGGAAGGGGGCAATGTTTGCTGTGCGAGTAATTTGTGGGTACATTTTCAAATGTTTGCAAATTTGAACTGAGATGGACGGTGTGCTTTTTTTAATTTGCGATTATAAAGAGCAAAACTTGGCAGAACCCTCCTGAAAAAGTCGCAAGACTGAGTGAGGCTTTCCTGGGTAAACGAGCAGAATCGCATGGAAACAGCCGTACCAATACCCGCCACTAAGTGACGGTAACATCACCACGGTGCCTGTGCCAGGCCAGGTGCACTTTGAGGCGGTTTCCTGTTTTGAGGCAGGAAACAGCCGTATGTACACACACACACACACGTGTGCACCTAAGACATCAACAGCAGCACCACTGCACATTCTCATTGACTTACAAAGATCCCCCTAAAGCCTGAACAGACTGTAGGGGTCAGTGCTGTTAATGAGTACCTATGAAGGCCAGCACAGCACACGAGGGGGTGGGTGGCCATTGCCTCCCCAGCGATGATGTTTTTACACATCGCGCCAGATACACATTTGAGGCTGAGTCGACCTCAGGAAGGTTCAGGACCGATTTAAATAATCGTCGCTGGTGTTGGCTGGAGCGGGGAATCGAACTCGGGTCACCGGGTTTCCAAGCGCAGCACGCTAACCGTTGCACTGCCGCTCCCCATATATGCACATACAGATACACACGTACATTCCGACACGCGCATACAGATCTCCCAGTTCTGCTAGTGACCACCAACTGAGGGCAGAACTTATGTGTGTTAGGGGCAGCGGTGGTGGGGGGGGGGGTAGAGTGCCGTGCAGAAGCGTGGCAGCGCCACCTGTGACGCTCGTCTAAGATTTCCGGAGCCAGCTGTGCTGTCTTTTCAGGAGGTGACAGAGCAGCTGTGGAACTGTCTGACTGTACGGATGCGTCTCCCAGCAAAATTATGTGCCGCCAAGGTTTGGCTCAATCCACCTTCATCATCCCCTCTGGGTAGCATTCCACGGTGTAGCGGTGGTCACGCCAGACTCGCAATCCAGAGGTTGACAGTGCGATTCCATCTCCCGGCGCGGCAGTTAAAAACAATGGCGCATGTTTTTAAAATTCCCCCACTGCTGTCCACCCAGCCAGTATAACATGGGTAGGTCACAAGTTAGTAAATCGGCAGGTCACGTGGCGTGGGGAAAAGTGTGGGTATACCCACCTCATCCACCACATCTGGTCAACGTGGAAGAGTAGACCAAATACCCTAAAGAGTTCGCTCCAGCAGAGGCCTTTCCGTCAGCGGCCACGCGCGCAACGGGCACCCAGTGGTGGGCAACCATTTGCGATGAGACTGAGAGCGGACCTTGATAGCAGGGTGTTGATAAGTAATGGGCTAAAGGATACAAAGCTAGACAGAGCGACAGGAGCAGACTTTAGAGGTCTCTATGGCCGTGCCATGCTGGAGGTGGGTGCCAGCTGCAGCACACATTGCGAGTGGTTACCCGCGTTGTGCAAGTCACTGAATTTGGCTGGAAGGAAGCAATTTCTTGTTCGCATGAATGTCAGTAAACTGGACTGCCTCTCACGTGTAGCCCAAAAAGGCCGCCATGGCACACGTGGAGGTATTGCAGGCAACACCACACCCGGCTACCTTTATCTCCCGAGTGCTGATGTTTATACACCGCGCCAGGTACTCATTTAAGGCTGAGTCGACCTAGGGGAGGCCCAGGACTCGTTCAAACGTTTGCCGTTATTGGTCGTGAGCAGGAATCTAACATGCGTCGCCATAATGGTAGAGCAATGCGCACATCATTGCGCTACCACTCTCCCTTATATATAAACAAATACAAAGTCTCTTATAGCCTTAAGAGACTTTTGGGGCAAGTGCTATTCGCAAACACCTATAACGGCCGGCACGGTACACGAGGGGGTGGGTGGCCAGCAGCACGCCCGACCGTCTTTGTCTCCCCAGTGGCGATGTTTACACGCTACACCAGGTAGTCATTTGAGGCTGAGTCAACCTAGGGGAGGCCCAAGCCCGGTGCAGATAATCGTCACTGGTGGTGGCCGTGAGTGGGAATCGAATTTGGGTCGCCCGGTCCATAGTGCAACGCTGACCACTACACAAACGCTCCCCACATATGCACACACGTGTGTACATATCGGCAGTAAGATTGCCATATGCAGTACACATGTATTGCATATTTTGAACTGTGTATACTCTTTAATGCTTTGTGTATCTAAAATTTTACCGAGGTAATGTTTACTTGAGAAGCGCTCTTTGACGTTATTGTGAAGGTTGCAATTTTAAATAAAGTTGCTTGATATATATGCCCAAAAGTCGGACTGCGCCCTCGATTTGTGTCACTCGCAATTGGGGTTTGACCGTTTTCACAACCATTCTGGAACATCTCCATACTTTGCAGGTCATTTGCAGGACGTGCTTTGTTCTACGCGGGCCCAGGAGGACGGCTTCATTCTAAACGCCTAGGAGCACACGCACGCACACACACAAAGTTGGCCAAGTACCATTTATGTGTGTCAGCTGGATCAGAGCCAACGTGGTTGGCTACCACTGCGGGTGGGAATTGCGCCATGACATCATGATTCTGTAGTGGGAAACCTTTGCCCAAACCCAGCTTAGCTCACATTGGCTCATAGAGAGGAAGGATTTTCCTGCTGGGTGAATCAATGCCGATGTGGGTTTTTTCTCTTGGATCTTACTGGATCCGGATTCATGGACCTGGAATCCATTCGCATGAGTCGCAACGGAATCACAGCAGGGTGACAGGCAAGCAGGGAACCAACAGCAGGAACCCATGGTGCACAGAATGAAAAACATGAATCGGAGTGTGCATCTATATGCATACAACAGTAATACTGTTTTTGTCAATAAGAAAACTTTGATATGCTTGTCGATCCAACGTAATGTTAATTCTGGTTACTGGCCAGCTGATATCGAGGACCACAACTCAAAGCCCTGGAACCAGTGTAGAACCAGTCCAATTCCAGAAAAGCATTTCAATGTAGATTCTAACCACGAGGAATTGGGCTGCAGTACCATTGTGGCCAGCTGGATTTGGTGATGCTTAGATATGCAGAACCAACGCTGACCGATCCCAGATTTGCAATAAAATCACAGTGGAATACCATTCTATTGTACACATCTCCTGTGGCAGAATCACTCGTAGAATCACATTCATTTTAAGGTAGATTTTAACCCCGAAATCGTCCGGGGTTTAGTTGTAGGAATTGAGTGTGATGGCTACAGAAATCTGCCAGCTCTATTTGCTGCAGGCCTAGGATTGAATTACTTGGAGGCAGAGTTGGTGGATCTTGCCGAAAGCTCACAATCTGGGACAGTGAAGTGTTTTACAGAAGGCAGTACAGCAAGCAGGATGTTGCCCTATCTTCATGGTGTTTTTGTTATCCCATCACATGTCAGTTTTCTCCACTCCGGATTCATCCCACATGAAAATAGTCAAACAATAGAGCGAGTGGCTCGCAATTTCAAGGTTGCGAGTTCACATTCGAGTTGGGGGTTGACGCAGCCCATCATCCCTCTGGGGTAGATTGAATGAGTACCACTTGTGGAGGGGTCAACAATGGTTGTCCTGTGGAGACTCGTCCCCATCATAGGAACAAGGAATGTCTACGACTGGCTCAGGGCTATAAACAGATGAGCACCACTTCAATGCTTATTTGAGTAGATCACTTGGATTTTTAAAATGTATTACACTGACACATTCTGTTAAAAAAAGACATTCACCTCGCTTCACCATTGAAGCTGAAATTTAACTCCTGGGTGCAGTAGTAGGTGCAGTTTACTGAAGCGTCGTTATTTGATACCACGTTGCACTCTAGGAATGAGGCTATACATAGCTTGCGAGAAACAAGATGATGCCGTGCCGATCGACCGTGTCATGCCGTACTAAAACTATGTCTAAACAAACTTCACTTACTTCTAATACTACAGATTACAAGGAGAGGACTGAAAGGGCTACAATGCAAAGCACGGTACTGCAAACAGTGTACCACAAAGAACATATTTGAAATTCAAGGAGACTTTCATCAATGAACTAACATTATAAAAGGACTCAACGTATGAAAAGATGCAAATAAACATTTATAACCGGCCGAGGTGGCTAAGTGGCAAAGCGAAGTGGCTCACACCAGACACCAACACCAACAGCTCATGGACAGCAGGCAAGCGTCAAAGAAGATTTTGTTCCTTTATATTCTCCACAGCGACACAAGTGATTGTGTCGTTGTTTTCCGTGGTTGTGTCGAACAAGGAACAGAGGGGGTCCTCGCCTATGGACGTATGTCAGTTCCCAATCATTGTTTCCAGCAAGGGTGACCGACTGCCGATGAGACGATGTCAGAACGGGCCTAGAATTTGCTTGTGTTGAACCAATACTTCTGGGGGGATAATTGCACTCTCATAAGGCCTGTGTGTCCGATCGGATCTGTAACAAAAATAACTTTCAATTTCCACGTCCAGAAAGAGACGTGCAAAGGAGCAATATAATTACCTTCTTACATGTATTTATTTTGTTACCTATATTCATCACGATGACGAAAATGATTGTGTTATGTATTCAGTCAGATCATACGCAGTTGGAGAGACAAATGTGAGAGTGATTCTTCGTCACATTGTCCGTTTTGTACCATTTTCTTTAATTATATTTCCCATTTGGTTGTTTGTGTTGCATTTTGCCAGGTATCACTTGCTAAATGGATTTGCATTTCTGCGAGTACAGTTTCAAAGACAACGCAAATATGATCAGAACATGTTTGTTTGCATGGTTTGCCACAAGTATGTGTGGTTAGTGCAGAATTGATGCCTTGCAAAAGGTGTCTATTTGATGTTTTACCATCTTAACACCTCCTGTTTCATTGCCAGAAAGGGTAAAACCTATTATGATTCATC